GGGCGTGGCCACGCCCATTTTCAATTTTTAAAAAAAGCCTGGGTGCAGCTTCCTTCTGCCATTTCTTCCGTAAAATTTAGTGTTTTTGACGTTTTCGTTAGTCGTTTAATGCACTCTAGTGATTTTCAACATAACCTTTGTATGGGAGGTGGGCGTGGTTATTATCCGATTTCTTCTATTTTTAAACTGATATGGAAATGCCTGAAGGAAACGACTCTATAGAGTTTGGTTGACATAGCTGTAGCAGTTTCCGAGATATGTACAAAAAACTTAGTAGGGGGCGGGGCCACGCCCAATTTTCCAAAAAAATAACGTTCAAATATGCCCCTCCCTAATGCCATCCTTTATACCAAATTTCACTTTAATATCTTTATTTATGGCTTAGTTATGACACTTTATAGGTTTTCGGTTTTCGCCATTTTGTGGGCGCGGCAGTGGGCCGATTTTGCCTATCTTCGAACTTAACCTTCTTATGAAGCCAAGAAATACCAAGTTTCATCATGATATCTCAATTTTTACTCAAGTTACAGCTTGCACGGACGGACGGACAGACAGACATCCGGATTTCAACTCYACTCGTCACCCTGATCACTTTGGTATATATAACCCWATATCTGACTCTTTTAGTTTTAGGACTTACAAACAACCGTTATGTGAACAAAACTATAATACTCTCTTTAGCAACTTTGTTGCGAGAGTGTAAAAATATGTACTTATTCCACAGGGATCTGAAATGTATGAAAAGCTTAGAATATGTAAGGAAATATCATTTTACATGTCGCCTCTTTTAAATGGGTCAATTATTAATAATGATACAAGAACGAGACGAATGTGACAAATTTCTGGACCATCTAATCGATTGTTGTTCTTAATGGAACATTTACTACTACCAAAAATATTAAAACTTTGTTCATAATATTAAAATTCTCAATTTATTTTTCAAAATCTATGTAGGTAATCCACCTTGACCCCCATACATCCATGCCATTATGCGTTTTTTCGAATTCTCTAGTTTTCAAAGTCAAGGTTCTGATTATCCTTTGCTTGTTGACAGTTTGATCGGCCGGAAGGAATTCGGAGTGAATTTTTTTTTTTTTTTTTTTTGCTTCGGAGTGCATCATACTTCAATAATCGAGGAAAACTGTCAACATAACTTTGAGTTTTTACCTGCTTTGAGGTGTTTTTTTCGGCTTCAACTCACCTTTAGCACGATATTCGGCCGATTAGTCGCCTATTTCCGGGTCATAAACATAAATCCAAGGCTCATAGACAGTAGTAATAGGTTTCATGATATCCTAACAGTCGAAATTTTCACAGACGTTAAACGGTCTGGTTTTTCGAAAAAATTTTGTGATTTTGGAACCAATCGTGTTTTCACCTCTCTTAGGCCAAAATCATTTTTCAGAATGGTTTTCACTGATCCTTTCGATACTCCAACGATATCATCGTAAAAATCGCCAAATGCACTTTATGTGCTTCAGAAAGACACTACTGATTATTTTGATGTGATATTTGGCACAGATGTCACTGACAGTTATACCAGCCCAGAAAAAATATATCGACGAATGAGTTTCCGAGCGAAATTTAAATATAAAGTCTTACAATTTTTTGTTCACAGTAGTACATTATAATTGAGAAACAATCGAAAATTTTATGCATATTGGTGGGCAGGGTTTAACAACCTCTGAGAATTAAGAATATTTCTTAGTTTTCGACCCATGTCCTTTAGCTTATCATCAGCTAATCTAAACTTGCTTGATAGGTGCCTATATGCTATTCCTAGTCACAGTTCATTTAATGATCATTAAGGTAAATAGCTACTGATTTCGCTTCAGCTCCATTGAAAAGCTTTTTCAGAAGATCGTAGATAAGTAACGCTAATATAATGTAATTTTATTACTTGAATAGGTTAAAAACACAAAGCCGGAGCTTAGCCGGAGCTAAGCTGGTCTGGAGATTTGTATAAAATATATCTTTTATGGTGCAACGTGCCATTTTTCTTCTTAGAGATTTTGGGCAATAAGTGAATTAATTTAGTGGCATTTAAAGATCTTAGACTGTTTAAGACCTGTTGCCGGCCAGAAAATAAAGAATCGCAATAGGTACTTGACTAGTCTCTTTTATTGGTATAAATATTGAAACTTTGAAAGCAAAAGGAAACTTTACAGTTTTAAAAATCAAAATAGCATTTTTATGAATAAATTAGAAAAAATTGTCTCCATAAATTTAGAATTAGGTATGGTTCTACTAGCTTCGACTTGTCTCGGTCAAAATATTATATTTAATAAAAAATGAATATGAATGCTATCAGATCGCTTTTTGGAAACATAAAAATATATTTTTAAATAAAATATTTCGAAAATAATTTCAAGCACAACCCACTGTTTTTATTGCTGCGTACAGCAGCAGCTATTAAATAGCCCCAAGCCAACACATTGACGTTGCTCTGCAGCTGAAAATGTGGTTGAGCGTGGGGTGCACCCATTCAAGTAGTGAAAATCACCCAATCCCCCTAACATGCGGACCCATTAACTCAATTCTACTCAATTTCACTTTTGCTCTAACTAACACTTTCAACGCTTTCCCTCGCTTTTGATTGCCAATTAAATTGTCGTTAATTAAAAATTAAGTTCACTCCTCGGGAAAAGATAATAAATTTTCAATATTAAACCAAGGCTGAAAGGCAAAGGCAAACGTAATCTAGTCTATATATACCTTCAATGTTAACATAAGCTGTTGTATAACTTAACTACAAACTAACGTTTATATAGCGACATCGAACTACAAATACATAGACATACATATGTACTTAAGTATTTATGGACACTTTCGCACTAATGCCCAAGCCACTGAGGAAGTCAATGCTGCTTAATGTCAGACGAAGTCCTTACGTGTTACGTTATATTATCAACACCGTTTCCTTTGTTGTATGAATTTATATATGTGTTTTTACCCTCAATTCCTTACCTTTATAGGTAACAACATTACGCTTCAATAAAGTGAAAAATTGTTATTGTTATCGGTAATGTCAGTTTTGCTTTTGTTTACTCTTATTGTTTTGACTCTGTGGTGATTGCCCGGTGCTGGTGAATGAGTGAGAAAATTAGTTTCCGCTTAAACAATTATATAGAAGCATATATGTAAATGTACAAAAATAAATGGCGTTTTCATATTTGCTAGTTGCTTGGCTGAGCTTCTCCATTTGAGGCGAGCGGCCTTATGTCATCTGGCAATTGAAGAGTTATACAAGTTTCAAATCTTTTCCGAATGGCAGATTAGCTTTAGAGATATTTTTTCTTAACAAAATCATATATGAGACTATAACTATTAAATCAACTTTTTTTATGTAATTTAAGTTTTTTTTTCCAAAGCCGGTATTTCAACCGTTTAGGGGTAAATGGTTATTTAGCCGTAAAACAAAGTTACACAACGCTTATTTTCCCCTGATATATGAAATCACTCACTAAAATTTCTTGAAGATGATATCGCAAAAGGAAATGAAATCAAAGTTTAAAATTCTATCCCTCATATACTATACATCGGAGACAAGTTATAAGACTTGTTAACTGCACTTTTTCTACCCAATAAAAAATATCCAAACTGCAGGCAAAATTTTCGGAAGTGGATATATCCGATTACCCCTCAATCGTCAGCGTCACTGCATTTATTATGATACGGCTTAGATGGAAACTCCTGAATCCTAAAGGAACTGTTTATATATCACAATGGGTAATGTACCCACATTTTTGGCGGCAAGGGTTTTATTTCTTTTAATCAAATTTCATGTAGTTCAAACTCAATACATTTGCAAATATGCAATAGCTAAATTCGTTAAGCTCTAGTTTAGTCTACGAGCATTCTGAGCTTTCATACATAACTTTGCCTTAAGGCGTGCTTTTATGCTCAATTTGACAACACGTTCCATATGACTTCAAGTTCGAGATCGACAAATAATTATCGCATATATTTGAATTTCATCTCTCATGTTGTTGAAGCCTACTTGAAAAGGTTAGTCAGAAATCTGAGCACTCGGTTTACACCTTAGACTGCATTTTGTTGACCGATTCCAATTTATATGTACGATATCGATATAGCAATTCATATGAACGCACCATGTCCGCTTCACCAGTTTTCTGATTATTTGATCTTTTACCGAAAAATCTCCATGTGAAACAACTACTGAATACAAGATTTTAAACTAAAGAATTTATACTAATAGATATTGATAGATAGACTAAAAAATATAAATTTTTTACTTGGATACTGTGAAATTATCGTAAAAAAACAATTATGAAGTAATTAATTTTTTATAAGTTTTATTGTTTTTATTCGATATGTTTACGGTATCTAAAGAAAAAATTATAAGTTTTTTTGACTCACCTTGATATAGTAGTGTAACTTTAAGGTTCTATATACAAGAATACGATAAAAAAAATATTGGCAGATCATAGTAGTCGTTTACACGGGTCCATTAGCTCGAGTCCAGTTTCTCCGCCTTTCTTTTCACTACATTTTCTCACATGTAGGCTACTCGGCACTTAGAGCATTTTGCATAATTCATATGTATGTTGGTATGATGGTTGCACATATTTCTTACAATGTATTACCATTAATGTGGTAGATCATGTGTGTGTTTAGAATACCCGCTATTAATATTTTCAAGACCAAATTAATGACTGGATTTTGCTAACCTTTCGGAAAATATTAAGAACCCCTACTTTTTTTTATAACAAAATTTTTTCTGAAATTAACTAATTACGATTCTTGTTTTAAATTAAATGATATTCTAACTAAATGCTTTGCGGTTAAAAAATAGACATAAGAGCACCTTAATTTAAAATAAATAAATATAAAACAGTAATAATAACTATATTTTTATTAAGATCCATTTATATATATTATTACATTTAATATTACTAAACGTTATTAGATACTTAAATTAAATATTTTTGAATATTGCAACAATGAAAAGAATTTCAATTTGTATTCTAAAGTTTTTTTTTTAATTATTTACATAAGCTTTCAAATTTGGTTTAAACATTAAATAAAATTAACATGTAAGGAGGGGCCAAGTTCGGGGGCAACCGAACATTTTATACTCTTGCAGCTTTGCAGCATCAAAGGCTAAAAATAAAATCGATTATTGGTAATTTTTGAACTTATGCCGGACTCAAACTTACGTTCAACTCTTCTCTGTGCAACAATTTGTCTAAATGTTTCTGGCTCATTATCAATATATGTATTTTGGAACTTCCGAGTTAGAGGCGGTTTGAATTACAGTAGTAGTTGTAGTATGCATTGCTTGTTTCTATTAGCACAGCAAAACTTAATAATTTTATATTAAAAACTCTTAAATTATTACATACATGTACACTTTTTGAGTTGATAGTTCCACTGTAGGGTGCCTATGATGGACTTGTTCCTTTAAATTTTTAAAGCTTTTTTATATGAAATTTTTTGCAAAATGTTATATTTTATATTTCACCTATCACTTCAAACATCTGCCACACTTCACTTCTTTTCCTTGATTCATTTCTTCGAAACCCCTATTTAAAAATGTGATCGCAGTTGCAATATACGATTTTTCAAACATTAAAAAAATCAGCTTTAGTGAAATATCGCTCATCACTAGTACATAGACGGGGCGGATGAGTAACATTCCACTCGTTAAATATTTCAGGAATGCATAAAACGACGTGGCGTATGAGTAACTTTTTTAAAGCTTATATAATGTCATGTTGACTAGAGTATCTCACCTATATACTGTATTAAGCAATATAAAAAGTATCCGTTTGAAAGGCAATGTATTCGAATTCATCAATCGACTCTGAAATGAAAAATGTGTTCATTATTTCTATTATAAAACAAGTAAGGAATGGCCAAGTTCGGGTGCAACCGAAGATTTTATACTCTTGTAACTTACAAGAATCAATACTTTATTATATAAAGCGTCAACCTGAGGATCGAAATCCAAACAATTTTATATACTATATATAACTCATACACTGACAGACACATACGATTTGTTAGAAAAACGAAAATTATTATACATCTGTAGTATATGGGAGTTGTGGTAGTATCGACCAAATTGTATCTATTTTTCCCAATACCACATACTATTAGCATGTCACTTACTAAAAATCTAATCGCATAGAGTGAAGTCAGCCGCATGTCCGAAAATCCTGATATTAGTTAAATGCGGGGTAAGTCAACTTTTCGCTCCAATTTATTTATTTTAGGAATACAAATACAGTGTAAACGTGTAAAACACACTACTTCATTTTCATTGATCTTCATCTTTCATATTGGCCGCTATATGCGGTACAAAGTCACCCGGAAGTTCGGTTATCTTTATATTAGGTGTATGTTCGGTTATCTTTATATTAGGTGTATGGGGATAAGAAAACTTTTGGTCCGATTCAACCCATTTTTAACATATAGACAAGCCATTGTCAGAGAAGTACTATTCCTGGCTTTCAATTATAAATTCCAGATATTGATCTCTCGGAAACTCTTAACGCCGACTCCTGACCATATAGCAAGACGGGGTTGATGAGTGACTTGTAAATTTGATATTTGCTCGTTGAGAGAGGCTTATATTTCTCAATTGCCTACTCAGTCCAAAATAGCACACGTTGGCAAGAGTTATTCTTGACTCGTGACGTGGAAGCTTAGTCGAAAATACGATGACTGTTTGTTTAATGACAGGAAATATTTCGTCTTGCCCTCTTTACCGGACTCATTTGCTTCGCTTCCTTATCTAGTCTGGAGAAAGCAGAACTAGTGACGCGGTTGTTGAGGCCAATGATATCAGTATCATCGGCGTACGATAGCATTATAGATTGAAGAAGTCGCATGATAGGGAGTTGCCTTGTCTAAAATCTTATTTGGTATCGAACGGCTACAAGGGGTCCTTCCCGATTCTGATGGGGCTTTTCGCATTGTTCAACGTCAGTTTACAAAGTGATATTATTGCGGGTATACCAAATTTAGACATCACGTCATAAAGACAGCTCCTTTTTGTGGATTGAACAGAGCACACTTAAATTGCAATCGTCGGGCCTGCTTTCATCTGATCATATTCTACATACAGGCTGATGTATGCTTCTTATTAGTTCTTCGCCTCCGTATTTAAATAGCTCGGCAGGTAATCCATTGCTCCCGCCGCTTTGTTGTTCTTCAGAGGGGTAATTGAAATTCAAATTTTTTCATGATCGTTCAATGAAATGTCTGTTCCAACGTCATCGATTACACCTGGAGTTAGGTTTTCACTGCCATTCAGCAGTTTGGAGAAGTGTTCCCTCCATAATATCAGTAAGTTTTAGGCATAACTCACCGGTGGGAGCTGACATTATAACAAGGTCTTAAAACCCTCTGTTAGTCGCCACATCTTTTCAATTTTCGAGCGTTACCATTGTGAGCCAGCTTCTCAAGCTCATCGTACTCATGCATTTCGACCTCTCCCTTTTTTTGTCTGCAAATGCGTCTCGCTTCTCTATAAATCAAAAAGCAAAAGCAATCCTTTTTTAATTTTATGAACAAATTCGTACTCTGAACACTTGAAAACAATAATTGTTGTTGTAAAAATCTGAAATGCTTTAACGTTCAAATTAATAACCTCTATTAAGATCATTTAAGTGATTAATTCTAGCCAAAAAAATACACTAGTATTACATTACAAAAATGCAAACAATAATAGTACATCACAAAAAAGCCTACTTATGCAAGCCAAGTGCTTGAATGAACCAAAAGCACCACCGGCAAATGACAGCTGCAATGATGAGCAAATGAAGCAGCGCTTTCTTATGCTTTTGATATGAAGATGCTGCCCACAGCCAAAATGTTTGCGGCTCTTGTTCTGGATACCTGCCAACTGCCAACATATAAGCAAAAACAAAAGCAAAAGGAAGCAAAAACAATGAAAATGTAAAAACCAAAAAAAAAACTCAAAACTAAAGTGAAGCTAAAAGCAGACCAAGCACAACTGCTTTGGAAGGACACAGCGGCCTGTCCAGCAGGGCAGCACAAAAAGCCCGCGAAATGCGTGAGCAGTAACTAAGCTGCATTCACACCGAATCTAAGCCTATCAGCGGTGTGTGTAAGAATGAATTCCACACTAAAAAAAACCACACTCGCATCTGCGGCGCAAGTCGAAAAAGCCTACCGAGGTGTGGACAATCGTTCACCACTTCTGCTAAATTCTACCGACTGCCAACTGCAAGACAACGGCGTATAGAAGAACAAACGAAAAGAAAATGAAATGCATATTGGGTTTCCAAGAAGTGAATACTAAGTATACCGTAAACAAGCAGCAAGTGTAAGTGGAAGCTAAAAAAAAATTGGTAAAGGCGGCGGTGGAATTGCAAGGCACTGTGAATGAACAGTTTGCTCTTATTTTTACTATTTACAGCACTTTTTTCGCTGACTTTGATGTGGCGCGTGTTTGGCTGCCAACTGCGGTTGCTCGCGCACATACACACACATACAGACAAATGCTGTGAAAACTACATGCACACATGTCTATGGCTGCCGCATGGCACAGCTACGTGCACGTTGCACTCTAAATGCACACTATCTAAGGGCGCAACGTTGCGAATGATTGCTTTGATGGCGTTGAAAATAGTGTGCTAAATGAAAATGGTGTCGCTGCTGTTAGCGATGGCGACAATCTTACTGCTGCTGGCATTCCAGCATATTTGGTGTGCTGCTGACGGTGACACTGATTGTGTGAAACAATGTGTAGAAAAGTAACTATGTGCAAGTAAAACGTTTACAACAAGTATTTGCATCTTTTGGTTAGAGTTTTTCGCTGCTCCCTCTTCTTTTGTTTGTGATTTTGGGGGTGTGATTGCTTTTTTTTTATGGGATGAAATTTGAGTTTCCAAATAATATAGTTTTCCATACAAGTACTTAATTTTGAACTTATATTGGTTCGATCTGAGAAAAATGTTTGAAAATTGTATCACCACCTTTCGAGAAGATATCTAATAAAACAGACTTGCATACATAAACTGAATTTATATATTTATATCGGTCAATTTGTATTTGTATGGCAGCTATACGATTTACTAGTTCAATATCGTCCATTCCTACAAGTTAGCAAATTCTTGAGGAAAAAACAAGATGTACAATATTAAAGATCTACATATACCCAAAGCCTCGTTTATACACAAAAATGGGCACTCGCCTATGGCTAAATCGTTTTAGCTCAGTACTTAACAGACTCTCCAATGTGTCTTTCTGAGTTCTACAAACTTCGTGGCAAACTTAATGCGATTTGTTCAGGGTATAACTGCTAAAGCATGGAAATACTACATGAACAACTTTGAAAAGTGTGACATTGAAAGAATTTTAACCATCATTGACCGCATGTAAGGTCTGGCATGTTTGCGATCTACAAACGTTTGCGTGGTAGCTGAGGCAGTAGGTTAGTATTAAAACCAGCATGACCACCTGCAAAAAAATATTTGGCATAACAAATATGTCAGCAACATGGGTGCCGTATTTGTTCMCTCCATATAAAAAGTGCAACAGTAAGACCACTTCACAGCAGTGTTTGAAACTAAATCCATACTAAAACAAACGAAACGTCGTCCGAGAAATGCAAAGACTGTGTTATCAACCGGTAAAAGGATGATCAACGTCTTCTAGGGTTCAAAAGATTTAATCTACATCGACTACCATGGGGAAGTACTTATATCATACTTCGCCGTCGCTACTGCTAAATTGGTTGACTCAATCAACCATTGGCCTTTATGGCTTGTTTTTGTTCCCTAACTTAGAAATAATAATAATCAAGTAGAAAAACTTGAGTCGAATAAGAAGGTTGTCGCACCACACTTTAGGACATCCTGATAACATACTGAGAAATATGTATATATGCTATATCACCATTCTTTTATAGGTATCAAGAAACCATGCAGCATAGACACGTCGTATCTATTTCGTAACTAACGAGTGGAGAAAAGAATTGAGTGCAAATTATGAAAATATCTAAGATTCTGGCAAGAGTTATCTGAAACTGGTCAAGGCATGTCCCTAGATGATTTTATAATTTATACCTATGACCAGAGTTACCTAACTTCTGCTAAGTAGCCAGTAGATAAAGGCTGAGAGTACAAAGATTCGTTAAAGGTATAGTTTAACATTTGTAAATTCTGATTCTTGCCCAATTATCTATCATTTTATGAACCTGTTAAACATTTTTCACTACAAAAGAGTTTTTTACAATTAGGCTTCATAACTCGTTTTCTTCTTATGAGAAAATCTTAAAAATAATACGCCAGATACAAAAGGAAAGTAACAACATTAATAAGTAACTTTGCTTATAATGATTTTACATTGGTATACCATCACTTTTTCAACACATGTATTGTGTGCCATCACAGATCGTCATACTTCACCCAGCTATCTTTCATAATCCATCTTCCGGCATGGCGGCCAAAAATTATATCACGTACCGGAAGGCTGAGGTACGAAGATGATGGCTTGCAAGTAAATGAGTAGGCTTGTTTGTATATTATAATATGTGGAAGTGTAAGTACTTGCATGCGTGAAGCACACATAATTGCCTGTCGTCTTGCGAGAGACGCCTATAAATTTACCTGCAAATGACAGTTGATTTTCAAATTGTTTACATACTTAACCATATGGTGCACACACACTAAGATAAGTACCTACATAAGCCATCACTTGCTCTTGACAGCAACCAATCTGTTTAACGGTACCGGTTACGATTACGCACATTAAATGTCGGACAGATGTCAATGCCACAGCTTGTAGCTGGCGCCGAAAGTAGCTAACGGAGCGTTGCCAGGAGTTGGGTGC